GGGCTGACGCTGACGCGCCGTGTGCCCTCAGATGGCCCGCACGCAGAAGAACAAGGCCACGGCGCATCACCTGGGGCTGCTGAAGGCGCGGCTCGCCAAGCTGCGCCGGGAGCTCATCACCCCCAAGGGCGGCGGCGGCGGCGGCCCCGGAGAAGGTGGGTAGCGCGGCCGCGGCACCTGGGGGGCTGGCCCCGCCCCGCAGAGGTGTCTCTTGCGAGCAGGACCCGCGCGACTCCCGGGGAGGCTGGGGCAGCCCAGCTCTGTCCAGCCCCGTCTTGGCGCCTGCCCAGTGACAGCCACTGCCCAGGGCTGGCCTGGCCACCCGCACCCATTTCTGTGTGAGTGGAGGTGATGGCACCCCAGCTGTGGTCTGCCGTCGTGCTTCCTGTGCCCCAGACGCCTGTCCTTTATGCCTTGCCTCATAGGTTTTGATGTCGCCAAAACGGGTGACGCCCGGATCGGTTTTGTGGGCTTCCCGTCGGTGGGCAAATCGACTCTACTGAGTAATTTGGCTGGTGTGTACTCAGAGGTGGCGGCATACGAGTTCACGACGTTGACCACGGTGCCTGGGGTCATTCGGTATAAAGGAGCAAAGATACAGGTGATGTACTTCTGCCTGCAGGAGCAAGAGGGTGGGGTGGGGTTTAGCTTGGTTCTGGCTGGGCAGTCTGGTCTGCTGTTCAGAAGTTAGAAGCGGTATAGAGCAGAGTAGCAGTGCTTATTGTTTTGTCCCCACGATCCAAATGAATGACACAGGACCGGTCTGTGGGCCAGATCAGCCCCTACATTGCCCCCATTTGGTCGGGATCAGGTTCCAGGGGCCCTGTGTGCCAGGACTGGGCCCCACACCATCCTGTGTGACATATCTAGTGCTCAGAGCCCCAGCCTGTAGGGATCTCCACAGATCCACGGGGAGCCCTGTGAGTCAGATGACAACACACTGGGGGCCCAACCTGGCCCATGGATCCAGGGTTGAGCACCGCTGCCAGAAAAGATTGTTTTGAGGATGCATGCACATTTAAAACCTTTTTTCTGCTTTTAAGTTTAAATAATTTGTGGTACTTCATGCTGCTTCAGTGAGAAATTACTGGCGCAAGGAAATTCTTCCATGTTTTATATAGCAGAAATGGCTATATTTCATTCTGTTGTAGAACAAGAAAAAACAGTAGAACAGGCTAAATATTGTATTAAAAAAGGAGGGAATCCTTATTCAAATTTACTTTAGGCTGAGTTACTATTACAAGCAAAGATGGGGTGTGTTTCATTTTTGGGGGGGAAGGGGAGGTGGCATTCTCACCGTAATGGAGTTTATTTTCAAATGTACAGCTTCTTGATCTCCCAGGAATTATTGAGGGAGCTAAGGATGGGAAAGGGAGAGGTCGACAAGTCATTGCAGGTGAGCTTTGAAGGGCTGGGGGCTCGTTTTAGCCATTATTTTACATGCTAATGGAAGGGTGAGGTTTCACAGTGATTTCTTTCTG